TTCCTCTCCTCGAGGTCTTTGTCGTATTCATTCCTTTCTTCTTTGTTTTTACTCAAGCGATGGTTTCATGAAACCCTTTGTTTCGTGATTTTTCCTATATCAATGCAGCCTTTCCCTTCCCTCGCCGGATGGTGATTCTCCCCCTTCGTCCAGTTCTCCTCGAACAAAAACAGGGGATGTTCCACGTCTTTCACAATTTCCTCCAGCTTTCATCCTCTTTCTTCCGCCGTACGATACTCCTACTGACTCCCACTATCTTTGAACAGACCGAAGGCCTTGGGACAGTTCGCTCGCACGCCACTGCCTCCGTGCCACCCGAGACTCATTCCAACTTCATCGATCTCTCCAATCTCGATACCACCACCAACGAATTCCCCACTGGCTATCAGAACGGCTACCAAGCAGGATACCCATACGAAGACGACGGCGGGCTGAGCAGCAGCGAGGAAGACGACGTCGAGGACACAGATGGAGTGCAGGCAGGCACGCCATACATGAGCGAACCGGAAGAGGATCGATCCGAATCCGATTCTTCCTCGTTTTACTCAAACTCTGATGCGGAAATCTCTGAAGAAGACGAAGAAGGATCGCAGTCGGAGACTTCGGAATCCGAGGGCGACGCTGAGGATTTTGAAGGAGAAGATGATGTTAGGACGCCTACGCTCACTCCTGTTGTTACGAATGAGACGAGTCCGATGACCACGCCTACCGCGTCTTCTACAGGCGCGTATGCGTCGCAGGCGTCTCGTACCACCGAACCGCCTATGTCGTTTTCTGCGTTGTATGCGTCAGCTCCAGTGTCAGCGCCAGCGGTCTCGCAGTCAGAGTCATTCCTTCTGAACTCGGCTCCACTCGTCGAAGAGCCTGTAGAGTCTGGTCAAGCTCAGCCTACCATGCGTAATCCTGCTCCTCCAGCTCTCAATCTCACGATGGCCTCCCCAGATAGCACACGCAATCACTCTGATTCTGTCACTCCTACAACAACTGGAAGTGCCCAGCCTCCAGCTTCGGCTGCTACGTCTTCTCGCTCCCCTGCTGGAATGTTCCGTCTATCCCCGACCAGAGCAGCGACATTTTCTGGGAATACCGGTGTTCGCACAGGAGCAGACCCTATGTCTTCAGCCCAAGTGACTGTTCCCACCACCCCCAAAAGCGCCGGACTCTCAAGCATGCTCCCTCGAATTCCGAAACCCAAATTTCCTAGCCGCAGGAGCACGAGTGCGAACATCACCTCACCGTCATCATCATCAACTCAACCTCCTGTGTATGTTTCAACGGATGATATTCCTCGTTTACCTACTTCTGCGGCTTCTGCCACTGGGACATTTCCAGCTTCGACCTCGAGTGGGTATATGAATGGACATATCACCGATCCCGGCGAGTCTGAACAAAAGTCAGACAAAAAGTCGCGGTTTAGGAAAAGCTGGAGCGGCGTACGTGTGCCCACTCGTCCACGGCGTTCGTTATCGATGGATTCCCCGGTATCTTCCAGCTCCATTTCGCCCTTTTCTGGTCCAGGGTCTCCCTCTCCGTCAGGTGGTGAGGCGATCGAACCGAGCGTGAACCAAGATGCTGCTTCAAAAGCTGCGATGGGTCACAAGACAAAGAGACCGACGAAGGTTACGAAGGAGAACAGGAAGGGAAAGGAAAAGAAGGAGAAGAAGAAGGATTCGACGAAGACCAAACAGGACAAGGCAGCTTCTGCGGCTGAGAAGACCAAGGGCAAGTCTTCTAAGAGGAAACAGAGGAGAAAGCGTCCGCCATATAGCTTCGGTGGCGGGGAGAATAACGATATCGTTGGAATTGTGATGCTGGAAATCCAGAAAGCGGTGGATTTACCCAAGCTGAAGAATAGTTAGTTGACATCATCGTTCCGGGAGTTTGGAACCTGTGCTAACTTTTTGACTGTTCTCTCGCAGTGACACGAACCGGCTGGGACATGGATCCATTCGTGGTCATATCTTTTGGAAAAAAGGTGTTCCGTACGCGTGTCATCAGGCATTCACTCAACCCGTCTTTCGACGAGAAGCTGCTCTTCCACGTCCGTCGTTACGAGACAAACTTCAAGGTACGCGATTCGCTCACTTGAGTACTTACCTTTGTAACGCGAAACATCAGGTCCACCTTACAGTCTTAGATTGGGACAAACTCTCATCCAACGACTATATCGGCGAATGTGACTTTGACGTGAGCGAGTTGATTACAGCATTCGAGGAGGGTCGAGGTGTAGACCCAGAAACGGGATTGTATCCTCTGGATGATGAAGCAGAAGGTGCTACGAATGGGATGAGGGATTTCAAGCTGTCGTTGAGAACAACAAAAGAAATGCCTTGGGAGGCAAAACATCGTCCGTACATCACATTAAGGTAAGCCAGGCATCAACCCCTTATCTGTATCTGCTCATTGATATCTTTCACCTGTAGGGGCAAATATCAACCTTATGCTGCTCTTCGACAACGTTTCTGGTTGCAGTATCTCAAGCAATACGATACTGACGACACTGGCATGCTCTCGCATCTCGAACTCACTTCAATGCTCGACTCTTTGGGATCGACTTTGACTAACACTACCATCAAATCCTTTTTCACTCGGTTCAACAAGGATCCATATCGAGAGGAACTCACGATGGCCGAAACGATTCAATGCCTGGAAACCGAGTTAGGTCGACCTGAAAGCCAAAAGAAAAGACTAGGCGGCGCTGAGGACGCAGGATACGAAAGCTCTGTCAGCGCTACACCAGTCATGATGCTCGCCGACAGAAGAGGTCAAGAGCTTGCTCTCGACAAACTCGATTTTTCAGGTCCGCCTTTAAGTGCAATGATCAGTCCCGGGTTACCAGATGCAGAGTTCCTGGAGCCGAACAGAGTACCTGCTCCAATGGCATACTCGAAACAAAGTGGTGCCCAACAGTCCTTGGATATGGCTATAGCAGGGAGAGAACGTACAATAACGACAGCCAGCTCCAGCTCAGCAACTACCCCTTCTGGCGAGTATGATGCATACTATGGCAGTAGTTCGTTCTCGTCGTCCGATGCCGAAATGGAAGGACTGATGGAGTATCCTAAGAACGGCGGTAACGGAACCGGAACGGTCTCTCGCCCCGCCGCCTCACCTTCGTCAACTACCCTCTTCAACACAGCAGCACAAACACCGGGGGCCTCTGTGACGTTTGCCCCTGCCCCTCCCGTCTCCTTCTCTTATTCACAGTCCAGCTCTGTCAAGAACACTCCCTCCACTCCTTTCGCGGCCCCGAACGCAAATCCTGATGCCCTAGTCGAGCGTGTGATCAATGTTCAAACTTGTCCTCTTTGTCATCGGCCGCGATTGAACGCGAAAGCTGAGGTGGACATCGTCACCCACCTTGCTATTTGCGCATCGCAGGATTGGAACAAGGTTGATCGTATCATGGTTGGCAACTTTGTCACTGCCAGTCAAGCACAGAGAAAATGGTACACGAGGATCATCGGAAAGATGAGTAGCGGCAACTACAAACTAGGCGCAGTAAGTGTTTTAGTTTGTTCTCTTATCGTCTTCTATCGACTCACCACGTGTAGAATTCGGCCAACATCATCGTGCAAAACCGCTTGACAGGCCAACTAGAAGAAGAGAAGATGCAAGTGTACGTGAGACTCGGAATCCGTCTACTCTACAAGGTACTTTCTGTCGAGTGTCTAGCTCGATCAGTCGCTGATGTTTTCGCGTATTCTAAAGGGAATGAAGTCTCGTATGGAAGGCTCCCGTGCCCGGAGTCTCCTCAAATCACTGTCGATCAAACAAGGCATCAAGTACGATTCTCCAGACAGTGTTCGGGACATCTTGCCCTTCATCGAGTTCCACAAACTCGATATGCGCGAAGTCAGAGATCCAGTTCAAAGTTTCAAAACATTCAATCAATTTTTTTATCGGTAAGCTTTGATTCATCTCGCAACTTACTTTGTGATCTAATCTTCCCGCTTTCAGCAAACTCAAACCAGACGCACGCCCTGTTGATTCTCCCTCTGACCCTTATCGTCTCGTCTCTGCCGCAGACTGTCGATTCATGGCGTTTGAATCTGTGAGCGAGGCAACCAGGCTCTGGATCAAAGGAAGGGAGTTCAGTGTTGGAAGGTTATTAGGGAATGCATACAAGGTAAGTTTTCAAAAGTTTCTCTCTCCCTGTGGTCTAATCATAATTTTGATTCAGGCTGAAGCAGAACGATATAACGGCGGTGCATTGGCAATCTTTAGGCTCGCGCCACAAGACTACCATCGGTTCCATTCGCCTGTGGATGGGAAGATAGGGAAAATGACTTACATTTCTGGAGAGTATTATACCGTCAACGTATGGAAGTTTCGTGACTATCCAAAAAAAATTTGCGCTGAACAGTAAATTTTCTCTAGCCACAAGCTATTCGCACTGCTCTCGATGTATACGGAGAGAACGCTAGGAAAATCGTGCCCATTGACTCGCCGCAATTTGGGCGTGTTATGGCAGTCTGTGTGGGTGCAATGATGGTCGGGACAATACAGACCACGGTTGAAGAAGGTCAATGGGTTAAACGTGGAGAAGAATTTGGTTATTTCGCATTCGGTGGGTCAACCATCGTGCTCTTGTTTGAGCCAGGTGTGTTGGAGTGGGACGAGGACCTCTTGATTAATGGTCGGGCTGCTTTAGAGACCTTAGTAAGAGTTGGAATGGGATTGGGGACTGGGCTCAGGAAGAACTATGCATAATGTAGAAAAATTGTACAGGATACCCTTATTGTTTGATTAGAGGATTGTTGAATACTTTCTCTCTGTCTTATTCCACTCTTGGATTGTTTCTAAAATGGCTCGACCCTCACGGTGACAGAAGATAAGTAAGGCCTTTGATGTGAACTGGTCTGATTCTGAGTCATAACCCTGAATCTGTTGCCAGGCCTAGGGTGGATATAGATAGGATATTGAGCCAGTAGCGAACAAAAAGTAAGTTCCAACTCGAGCCAACACGAGCAGAGTCGAAAAAAACGGAGACTCAAACATGCTCCCTGCAAGGCTCGAACTTGCGACCTCGAGATCGAACAATGCAACATCGCTCAAATGTATGAGACTCGCGCTCTACCGACTGAGCTAAGGAAGCAGTCGTTTCGACACCATTATGGACCAGCCAGTGAGTCAAAGTGTGCATGCCTGCGTATGCAGGTATAAGTTTTACCTCCACTACTGCATCTATTCATACGATTTCTTCGACTTTTTCTTTGGTCTCGACTCTCCCCCATTTCCATTTCCATTACCAATCCCACGACGCTTGATAGCCACCCTTTGGAGCGCCCTCTTCGTTTCCCCGTCTGGAAATGAGGCCAGATCGAAATATAACGGTGCGTACTCTAGAAGCCATTCGGGCTTGATTTCGGTTACAGTCCTGATATATGGTCTCTTTGTTAAGACAAATTCGTTGAAGAGAACCCATTCAGGCTGTGAGTCGAGTCCACAGGACGGATGCAGCCCCACAACCTAAGTAGAAAGTCATTGAATTATTTCACGAGGGGGAATTAAGTAGATCTTACTTGGTTATCTTTGACGGTCAAATAATTTCCCCTCTCTCCCTCCTTGTGCGCGACTTGCATGAAGAAACCACAGGTCAGGGCCTGCCGTATCCCTATATGAAGCGTTGAGGGAGGAAAATCATTCTGGCCTGCAAGAAACCGACTGACCTATATTCCGCTTCCTCTCATCTTCCAAACTCATGATGTCTATATCGTACTTCTCCATTGTCCTTTGGAGTTGAGCACGGACATTCTCCGCCTGCGCCAGTGCACGGGCAGAAAGGAAGTTGTTCCAAGCCCAGTTCCGGTCCTGCTTATCTATTCAAGAGGTAAGAAAATCTGGAATGGCTGATGCTGGATTCAGGTGCGTACTCTGCCAGTAGTTATTGAAGACATTAAGGAGTGTCAAGTGGTCACTCTCAGGTACGGTAAGCATGGCTTTCGCCTGGTCGGCGGCGGCTCTTTGGTTAGGTGGTCGAAGCCAGACGTTTGGAACTTCATTGAGAAAGAGTGAGAACGCAGATCCCAATGATATCAAGGTATAACGTATACTGACTGCTCAACATAGCCGTGATTGTCAGCATCTCATTCGAGACTTTGAATTCGGGTGAAACAATGAGTATCTTTGCAAGCTATGACATATGATCAGTGTATAGTCAAGGACAGCTAGGGCGACTCACTTGAGGATCTAGTGGGAATTCTGCCATCACTCCGCCTAGCGCGGTCAGTTCACCGTCGTCATCTAGTGCTGCGAGATAGTTGAGAAGTTCTAATGCACGCATGAGGGTTTCAGGTGCAGGAGCGTCGAGATAATCGAATTTGACAAGATCCTACACTAATGAGTGCGCCGGTGATAAACCAGAAATGAAAAGAAGCATCATTACCTTGATTCCTAACTTGGCCAGTTCAAGAACCGCGTTGGCAAGATTAGACCGCAAGATTTCAGGGTGGGTTTGTTCTTCGAGCTCCGATATGAAATCCTTTTCGGTATATAGCCTGAAAGAGTCGATGAAGGATCAAAGAGCTATAGCGGATACATGTAAGAATAAGACAGACCTGAAGCATTTCCCTGGTCGCGTACGCCCTGCACGACCTGCTCTCTGTTGCGCCGAGGCTTTTGATATCGGTGATACGAGTAAAGATTCGACTCGAATCCTCGGATTGTACACCTTTTGTTTCGAGAAACCCGGATCGACCACGTATACGATTCCATCAATCGTAAGAGAAGTTTCGGCGATGTTGTTGATACAACAACCTTTCGTCCTGGTGGATATCCTTCCTGTGACGGCTTCGGTGCAGCATCGAAAATCCGCTGTTGTTGTTGTGGAGGAAGGGAAGAGTATAATGGTACACACATTAATGGGCCTACGCTTGATGGATCTGTATTCAGCAAGTCGTCTGCTTCTAGTTTTATCTTCCTGCAAGCGTCCTCGATCTCTTCTTCACCCGTAAGGAAAAGCAAGATATCTCCTGGGTCCTCGGCACGATGAATCATGAGGACAGTGCGGATGGCCGCTTCCACGTAATCTGGTTCGGGTTCTTGTGTATAAAATACCTCTACGGGGTGCGTCCGACCGGGGACTTTGAAAAGAGGCGCAGGAGAAGGGGCTTCACCAGCCTCTGCATCGTGTAAGGAGAAATATGATTGGAACTTGAGAGCGTCAAGTGTGGCTGACATGACGATAATCTTCAAGTCTTTTCGTCGCTTTGCGAGGTTTTTGAGTAAACCCATGAGAATATCCGTCGCAAGGGTTCTCTCGTGAGCCTCGTCCAGAATGATCGTGCTATACCTCGACAGCTCTGTATCATTCATCGCCTCTCTAAGCAACATCCCATCGGTCATATATTTGAGAAAGGTCGTGCCAGGTTCTGTCATATCCTCAAACCGAATCGAATATCCAACTTGCTTCCCGAGCTGAACATCCATCTCATCAGCCACACGCTGAGCAACACTCATTGCGGCCACTCTCCTTGGTTGTGTACATGCAACTAGCTTCCCTTTCGTATGCGGTAGATCGGAATAGGTGACGAATTGAGGTATTTGAGTCGTCTTCCCAGATCCGGTCTCTCCAACCATGACTATTATCTGATTCTTCGAAAACAGTTCGAGGAATTCGTCCATCTGTGAAAAGACTGGTAGTGCGCGTCGGGCTTCGAGGATTTTCGGTATTGTGCGGAATGGGGTTGTTTGGTAAAAGGATTTAGTTGATGGTCCATTGCCTTGCGGACCTGCGCTCCTTTTACTTTGCGCGAAAGGAAACCAAACAAAGGTTCCTTCTCGGAAGCAGAAGCAGAAGATGAGGGGGCTATGCCCCGTTGAGAAGGAGGAAGATGGGCCAGATATGGGTTATCCATTGGGTATCTTCTATCTTCTAAGGCGACGCGTCGCAGTGAGTGCAAAAGCTGAAATCGTTTTCCAAATGAAAAGAGAAAAAACGCATTACATAATGACAAGCGTTTATTTAGACGCTCGAGTTGTTTTCCTTCCTTCCTCTCCTTCATGAACAACGAGCAGCTGTGTATGTACTACGATAACCTCGAAGATTTTGTTTCACCGTGGCATTCGGCTGCATACTGCTCATCTTGCTGTATGCTGCTGATTAATGAGCAAGTGAGCAAGTATTCGTTGAATGTCAGTGCCATTGACAGTTACTACACTGTACAGGACCTAACACCCACTAACTTATTATATCTTCATTCCCTTCCAGTACCCCACGCTCGGTCTTGAAACTCGATAACCGGGCATGTAGGCGCTTTCACAGCTTTCGAATTCCACTACAATGACGACGATCATCATTGTATGTTACGAACAACACGTTCTGGCAAACAAAACATCAGGTAGAACATCGCTTTCGTATTCAGATTTCCAAAAGTAAGGGTCGTTGGGCTCACTGACAGCAATTATCCTCCAATCACGCTAGTTCTTCATATCTTTTCAGACTGTCACATCAAGGAGATGCTGTTCGGGTGATCCCAAACTGACTGTTGGAACGCCGAACGATGCGTCCTATATTTAACCGTCATTCCCATTCCACCATCCTTTTTGAACTTCGACATTCTCTTTGAAGTTGTGCCATAAGTCCTTTGGAGAGCTGTCATCGCAATTCGTGGGCGTGGATCGTTCCATTTTTTGTGTTCAAGTGAGGATTCATCTTTTTTTCGAATTTCCTACTGTCGTTCTGTCATTCGTCCTTCTCTTTTTCAGGTTCTATACTGAAGACGATTTTACAGACAAATTCTTTCGTTTGTGCGCTAGCCGCAACAATTTGCTTTTGAGAGCACTTTCGTCTTTCTGTTGAATCATCATGGTTTATCCGTTCTTTTCCGCAAAATCCCCTCTTTCCTTGTCATTATTCTTTGTACTGCTCCTCATGCTATTGGCAACCCGCGCGCAAATGCCACCGGATGAAAACTTATTTCAGTGGAAGTTCTCTAACAATGTGAGTATCGCTATTGGCCTGCGCTACCGACGTTTGTTTACCATTCGCCGGACAGTTCCTGGGAACTCAACTTCCGTCATGTCAGTCTCTTGGTATCATTGTCGAGCCCGTAAACGCGACGAACATTACACACGGTGTTCCCCCGTTCTATATGATTGCTTGGGAGATGGGGGGCACGCCGAGAACTACATTGCTGGGCTTGAATGAGAGCAGTTTGAGTTGGACAGTGGACCATCCAGTTGGTGAGTAGATCAGTGATCATAAGTCCCTCTCGTTCAAGTCTTTGATGTCCAATTAGGAACCTCATTGATGCTGAACGTTGTGGATTCTCAGGGCAATGGCGGAGGTATCCCCCCACAAGCTTATACAGTTGAAGGTACCTTGCAGATCATACTTCTTGTGCTGCATACCCATCTCAGATTTACCGTAGCTGGGCAAAGCACGGAGTGTGTCGTGGATAACGACCAAAGAGATTTCATTGTCACTGCAAATGTTTCTGGCACTATCAACACTTGCCAACCATATGGTTTGAGAATCAGTGGCGGGAGCCCTCCTTACAATATCTCCCTTGCCCAATTCGACTCTCCTGTGGTCACAAACGTGACTATACCAAGTCCGCTGGATGCATTTACCTATATCAACAGAGCAACACCGGAATACACTCTTTTAGGTGAGTACTCACATAATATCAGTGTCCTTCATTCGGTGACTGATGATAATCTTTTCCTCTATGCAACACAAAGTTGCTGTAAGTGACATGTGAGTCAACATGGCTTTGTGCGAACCCTTCGCTCGTGCGGGAGTTATATCTGACATCTTGCTCCTAGAACTGGTCGTTACGCGTTCGGCACTCCTACAATAATGCCTACCGGTTCAGAAGATGTAACGTGTGCTGGTCTCAATAGCAGTCCTGGAAATGCAACATGGTTAACGGAAGCACAGGACGCTCAACTTCACAGCATCACGGAAGCGAAACACAGAAAAACCGCTATCCTGGTTGGAACCATCCTCCCGCTTTCCGTTCTATTGATCGGTATCGTGGCGTACCTTTTATACCGCGCTCATCACAGGCAGCAAAAGCTTGAGGAGCGGCTCAAGCCAGAACCACTTACTCTGCCTGAGCCCAAGGCGGTAGAAGAAGCCGAGGCAAACTC